TTGGTGGAACCCAGACATTCAGACCATAGTAGACCTACTCTTATCTCTTTGCAACCCATAGATATGATTCTTCAAGAAATTGTTTATGCAATTGCTTATTTTAAGGGAATTTATCTCTTTAGTTTAGTGGTAGACCTATTATGTACAAGTGGAAAGGATTTTGAAATGGTTTTTGTCCGTGTTCTTATTTTATAGTTGGCATTTGGGCTTGTTGAATCAAAATGTAAGGTTCACTTTGGTTGAGCTTACTTTTTTCAATTTAAAGATGTGGTGGATTTCAAGTATGCTATTTAGCATGAAGAACTAGTCACCATCATGCAGATTATACATCCAGAATGAGTCTGTCCTACAATGAAAAGCTTGTGTCCTTTGACCAATGGTTGCCATTCCTTCCCTGCAGCCAGTGCCTGGCAACCACTATTCTACTTATTATTTTTAGGAGCTCAATTCTGTCAAATTTCCCACATACATGATAGGATGTGTGTCTTGGTTACTTTTTACTCATTGCTGGGACAAATGCCCAGCATTCAAAATGAAGGAAGGAAAGGTTTATTTAGCTCAGTTTCTGGAGGGTTCAGTCCATATTCCGCTGGCTCCAAGGCAAATGACAGCAGTTCATGCAGCAGAAATCAATGAAGAGCAGAGGAGGAGCAGCAGCTGCAGCGGAGTCCATCAAGCCTCTCTCTTTCTTCTACACTGATTGCAAAGATCGGGCGAAGATTGTAGCTCTTCCAAAGTGGTGCAGCTATCAAGATCAAGCTCCTCTGAAGACTGGGACTTCTCCATGCAAACTGGGGCAGGGTGGCAGGAAGCCTTTTTTAGTTCTTGGGCCCTGCCCACCTGCAGGCCTAGGCCCCCCACGACGAGAACTGCAGGAGCTGATTTAGCCAAGTTGACACAATGTATCAACTAATACAATCCACCCCTTGTCAATTTAGTAACTAGACATATACTTTTTTTAGCCAATTTTCATGTACATAGACATGCATAAACATTTTACAACTTGAACATTGTATAACATTAAAGCTATGACATGTTACCCCTGGCCCTTCAAAGACTCATGCACATCTGTTTATGCAAAAGACATTTTAGTCTACCTCTAAGAGTTGTCAGAGTCCTACCAGTTTCAGCAACACTGAAAAGACCAAGTCCCAAGCTTCCAAGATCTTAGGCAAACTTTTAGCTGTGAGCCCCTCTACAAATGAAAAGTTAAACTCTTCTAACATTCACAGGCACAAGGTAAGCATTGCCATTCCAAAAGGTACACATAGCAGGATACAAACAATTGGGACCAAAACAAGTCCAAAGTCCAGAAGGACAAATGTTAACTCCTGTACTTCCCTGTGGACCATCCAAAGCACCTTGTAATGAACTGTGAGCTCCAAAAGCCTTATGTGGCTCCTCCCCTAAGGCACTTCTGCAGGTGACTCCTATGGCTTTTTTCTCAGGCCTACTTTGCTCCCTTTTTGCAGCTTTTCTTAGACCATATACATTCTTGGCTTTTTCAAACTTCTGAGGTTTTCACTGAATAGGCTTCTCATTCACAGCTTCACTCACTGCCCTCTCAGGGGCACAGTGCCTGGCCTCCCAGGCCTTCTTCTGAAATCTGGGTGGAAGCCTTCTGAGCCTCAGAACACCTGAATTCTTCATGTGCCTACAACCAAAGCCACGTGGATGATGCCAAGGGCTGCTGCCAGCTGGAGCAGTAGCCAGGGTTTCCTCTCTCTTGGCTGTAGAATTCAAGTGCCTGGATGGCTGAGCACTCTGACCCTAATTTGGAAGAATGATTTCTCAATGCTGGCACCATTCTGGAACCTGATGTGGCCACTGCCTCCATTCTGGAACATGGTGTGGCTGCTGCCTCCATTTTGGAACACAGGGCTCTGCAGCTTTTCCCTCAAAGCAAAGTCCTTTACCCTTGTGATTCTGAGGCTGCAAAGGGCAAGAACCTAGCACCTCCTGTGATGCCCTCAGGACATCTTTTCTACTCTCCTGTTCCTTCTCAGCAATGGAGATCCTCTCAGCTCTGTCTCCACAATCCACAGCCTTCCTGGTGCTTCCTTTCTGGCCAAACTCACAACATTTTAAATCATCCTTTTGGGCTCTTTGCTTTTCATTCTTAATATAAATCTGGCTAAAAGCCCCCAACAATAACCATGCCACTGTCCCCAATATTTGGTTGCTTTAAAATTTCTTTTGCAAGATTAATTAGTTCACTGTGCTTAATTTCAGTCTCAGGCAAAGTCTCTGGACAAGAGCAAAATGCAGACAAACCTTCTGCCAAGACATAACACAAATCATGCACAGTCCAACAACCAATGCTTTCCTTCTTCCCAGCAGAAACCTCCCCAGCCTGGCTTCCTATCAGCATTCTGGTCTGAACTCTGACCAGAATCTCTCAAACAGAAAAGCCGAAGCTGTTTCAGCGCTTTGCTTGTAGGTGCCATCTCCAAACCTTTTCTATCTCTTCCCATAAGCCAGTTCCAAAAGCTTATAATCTATATTGTCAGCTATAGCCACAGCAACGGCCCCACTCCTGGTACCAAATTCTGTCTTGGTTACTTTTTACTCATTGCTGGGACAAATACCCAACATTCAAAATGAAAGAAGAAAAGGTTTATTTAGCTCACAGTTACTGGAGGATTCAGTCCGTATTCTGTTGGCTCCAAGGCAAATGACAGCAGTTTATGCAGCAGAAAACAATGAAGAGCAAAGGAGGAGCAGCAGCTGCGGTGTCCATCAAGCCTCTCTCTTTATTCTACACTGACTGTGAAGATAGGCGCTCCAGGGGGAAGATTGGAGCTCTTCCAACGTGGTGTGGCTGTCAAGATCAAGCTCCTCTGAAGACTGGGACTTCTCCATGCAAACTGGGGCAGGGCGGCAGGAAGTCAGGCAGGGCGGTAGGGTGGCAGGAAGTCGGGCAGGGTGGCAGGAAGTCGGGCAGGGTGGCAGGAAGCCTTTCTCAATTCCTGGGCCCTGCCCACCTGCAGGGCTAGGCCCCCACGCTGAGAACTGCAGGAGCTGATTTAGCCAAGTTGACACAATATATCAACGAACACAATGTGATAATCATATTTCTGTGTCTGGACTATTTAGCTCCAAGTTACCCACATTGCTGTGAATGTCAGAACAGCCAGCCTCCTTTTTAAAAGCCAATGAATGCTTTGTTATGACTCTGATGAGATTGCTCATCCAGAATCCATTTCCCAGTCAGAAACCAACACACTTAGACTTAAGTGACCAGCCTGAGTTACCCAGCTGGGTTAAAGCTGAGATTGTACCTTCTGCCAACAAATGGTTACAAATCTTCTTACAAATAAATTATAGACAACAAATACAGGTTTATAAACAAATGATGGGACGCACTACTTCTACCACCGTGGGCAGTTACGTCTGCAGTGGAAACCAAGGAAGTGCAGTCCTGTCCTAAAAGTCCTGTTCTCATAGACTTCTGCTGCTACTTGTTGGCTTACACTTAATTTAAGGAAAGATGTTCCTCAGGTAGGAACCTGTGAAGAGAGTTTGTGAGGCAGAACAGCAAGAAATGAGCCCATACTGAGCAATTAACAGGAAAAGCCACAGAGAGAACAGAAGGCTGCACCTCTCTTTTTTCATGTTGTATGCAGAGTAAATGTCAATAGTAAGGCAAAATGCTGAAGATGCCGTTGTTTCACATTCTGTTAATGTTTACTTAGTGAAGGGAGCTTGAAGAATTGTGGTCTCAAAGTGGAGCTCATCAACTTCCCTGGGTTCTACTATGGAGGCTAATATATTTCAGCAACAATTGTAGGACAACATAATTTCCGATGAAAACTCCAAGGAGGGAGCAAAGAGTTGAGGCTCCCCGCCCATTGTGTGTATCCTTACTTGGAGGTAATGAATGGCCTATCTCATACTTGGCAGCCTCCAGCTTCCTCCCCGGGACCCCTCCATCTGCAGACTTGGTGTATGAATTAATGGAATCTCAAAGAGTGGAATTGCTTATTTCTGGAGCATCTATTACCAAAAAGTCAGCTCTTTACTGCCATGAGAGGTTCCTCTTCTTTCTAATAGATCTGAGGGATTGAGAAAGATGAATCCTTTGCAGAAACTTAACACCTATAAAAATAGTTGTGAAAAAAAATCTAGAGGAAAGATGGCTCCTGGCAGATAGTGGTAGTTTAGACAGCTGTCTTTCCTTCTAACTTTTGCATGGCCTATTACATTTGCTGCATTTGTATGCTGATTGGAATGTCCCCTTATCTTTCATTACTCTGATCCTTACACCTACATATCAGGCTTGAGGCTTGCTGATTTTTAGTTTCATAGACGATCCTGTGCTTTTCTTTCACATTGCCAGGAACACAGCTGTGACAAGAAAAGAGAAATTCTCCAAGGGCAATTAGCTAGAGTGACTACCTCAGAGGGTCCAAGGAAGGGCCCTCCTCTCTTTGAAACACTTTTAGACAGATGCAGGATGATATTCTACTATTAAACAAGGATTGCATAAAATTTGCTACATCCCTAGATGTATTAGTTTGATAATACATCACTTCTAGGATGAATACTTACGTACTCTTCGTACATGTATGTTTGTACTTCCCAATCTTGTAAAATAATTCTTGGAAACAAAGATTATTTTCCATTTTCTTTGTCTCTGTGAGCTTTCTTTACTCTGGCAGGACATTATAATACATAGACAGCACAAGCCACTTTTATTTTTACTTGTTTAAGTTACTGAAGAGGCAAACACCATCTCATGCCAATATAATTGTGCTCAGTTTTATATTGTTTCCAACTATTACTATCAGCAATTATAATTAAACTTGTAACTTTTATTAGAAAGCATATATGTATGTATGAATTATGTGACAATACATTATCATTGTTACATAGATGCTTATCCTAGTTGGTTGACTATATATTGACTTGCAGTTTTAATTTCTTATTCATAATATTACAACTGGACTTTAAAGAATATTTATGGGAATGTTTTCATGTATTTTTTTTTCACCTTTTAGGTGTACAAGAATTTCCAGAAAACATAAAGTGTTGTAAGTGTTTAACAATTATTGAAGCCAGTGTCAATCCCATTTCTAAGTGAGTATAAATAATTAAATTTTATTTATGCTTATGTTTGCATTGCATAATGTTGTATGAATGTAGATGACATTTGCATAAAAACTGTATTTTTAAATGTAGTGTTGATGTAGCATTTAAAGAAATAATGGGGAAGACCTAACCAGATCAGCAGAGTTCCACAAAAGGTGATGAGAAATCCTGCTGAGTGAGACTGGGGGCTGCTGGGCACCAGCTGGCCTCGCTTTGCAGCAGACTGTCACCAACTTTCTGTAGTTCTTAGGCAGTGTCACATTTCTGAAGTGTCAGAACTCAGAAAACATTTATTCTTTACATCATGATGAGAAATTAGCATCAAAGACCACTTGGAAGTCCAAGACAGTGCAAGACTTTAAAGTACTGCTGAATGCATTACAATAGCTGTGCAGTTCAACTGAAAATGACCAGAGACAGGAAGTTCTTATGTACCAGAGGTTGCAACAGACGTGAAAAGGTAGCTCTGTATGGAGTGTAGGGTGGAAGATAGGAATGTCAAGGATACTACAACCAGAAAAAAACAGGATTGCACATTCCATGGGATAAAGAGGTTGAGCCTGTACACGTGTTGGTGAGTTGAGGGTGTGACATTGTGATGGAGGCCTGTGGGATCATGGGAAAGCCATGAACTGAGTACTAAGGCCAGATGGGACTGGAAATGATCTATTCAGGCTATTGACAGTTACAGTAATATTTGGAAGATACTCAAATAAATTCATGATATTGGGATGCAGCTAATGAATTGCTAGCCTAAGAGGATATTTTAAATATATAAAGCTAGCCATAAGCTTTGAATAAAATTCCTAAGTTCTTTGTACGTGTGAAGTTGAGCAGACTAGGAGAAATCCCACTGGAAAAGTATTCAATGAATGAGGTATTTGCAAAGGAAACAATAAAGGTCTGTCAAAGTAAAGTTGAAGAGGGCCAGGGATATAGCTCAGTGGTACAGTTCCTGCCTAGTAAGTGCAAGGCCCTGAGTTCAATTCCAAGTACAGAAAAAAACTGAAGTTGAAGAGAAATTTTACACCAGTATAATGGAGAGGGGTGCATTATTGACTGGTTTCTAGCAGAAGACTGTTGATGAGAGCAGGCATGGAACAGGATGTAGATGAACAAGATGGAAGTTTTGAAGGAGGTTTTTCAGTGAGTGGTTTGCTTAATATTTTGAGATCTTTTATAAAAATAGTGTAGAACATCAAGCAATAAAAATATAACTTTTCTACCTAGAAAATAAAATATGGAGAGGGAACAATAAAACTCTAAAACTCCTGAAACCCTTAATGAAAAGGCAATTTTCTCAAAATTTCAATGAAATGGACTTTGCAAGCATCTCAAACAAGGACTACAGATATGTATACAACTTGAGTAATGCAATTGAAGTAGATGATGATTTTTTTCTTTTTTAAATAATTTTATTGAGAAACAAACAGCAAAGACACAGTTTCAAAACCACACAGTACGACAGTTTCAATAATAAATACATTGCACATTGTTGTCTCGGTGGATATTCATTGTACAAGATAGAGACATGACATCCTGTCCACAAACACTACTAGAACAGATCTTCTTATTCATTGAATTAAGAGAATGTAGCTGTATATCTATCCTATTTTGAATATACAGATACAAAATGGTCATTCATTTTTATCAACTTTTTGTTTAGTTTTATCAGAGAAGGGTATTTCATTGTCATTTAAATATTGTAGGTGCGTGAATTCAGCAAAATATTCCAATATAGTCCAGTAGTCCATAATAGTAGTGGGTCATCTGCAGGACTAGCAGTGTCGGAAGTCGTTGACCTGAGCCCTTTACAGCCCCGCATACCAACATGGCTTCACCTCTTATTCCTCGTTTTTATACCTATCTGCTGGATGATTAAGACCAAGATAAAGCAAGACCTATATAATAAGAAATGTAACTTTTTATCTGATAAGGTCAGTCAAGTACCCTCTAGATTTATCCTGAAACCCTGTACTGCACTTTGTAGATCCTTTGTCATTGTCAGCCATGGAGATGAGTCATGGCCATTGCTTGACAAACATGTTCTCTGTGAAAGGCTGACAGAATGTTTTCTCTCCATGTGACTCTCCTTAGGCACCCTCTACATCATCAATCACATTTCTCTGTGGCCCCGTAATCTCCTTGATCAGCAAATTTGGGACACAACTGAGGTACATGAAGTGACAGTATAGATTCTCCTATGTCCTGAGTCTTCACAGACCTTGACAGACTAGGGCCAAAATGTTGTCTGACCTTGCAGGCCTTCTTTTTCTCTGATTTTTGGTCTGAAAACTTAGGTTGTTAACCCTCCAGAAAAGAAGCTTATTATTACACTACAACATATGGAATTGAGTTTAACCTAAATATCTGCCTGAATATCAAACATCTTGGGCATAACATGGAACAGGTATTTTCCATCAAGTATTGATATGTTAAACTTTAAGTTCCTATAGAATATGAAGAAAAATACTTTAAAAATTAAAAATATTTAAAAATTATGAATAAACAATTACATATTTTCACTCAGAAATTTAGAAATCTAACTATATACAGCATTGTAGCAGGACAGTCCTGTGACATTTTTTTCTTTTCTCTGTTTTTCATTTATTCCCCTTTTTTTAACCCAACATTAACATGAGGGACAGTATGGCAATAATTGGTATGTCATAACAAGAAGTATGTATTTAGAAGACCAGAATGACAGGCATGAACCTACTACTATCTTCCAAGTATGAACCTACTGATACACATTGCTATCTTCAGTGCAGTTGCTTAGTTCACAGGTATCAGCATATATAGTTAGTCAGAGCAAGAATCCTACCAATTAACTGCTAGTTTCAAAAACCTGCTGATGTTTCTCAGTATCATTGCCTTACCCTTCTTTTTTTTTTAAATATTTATTTATTTGTATGTGTGTGTGTGGCCAGCTCAGCCCACCAGGGGGCGGGGGCTGGCTGGCATGTGGTGCTGGGGGATTGAACCGCGGTCCCTGTGCTTTGCTTAGTTTAGTTTGTTCTAAGTAGATGCTTTAGACCACTGAGCCATCTCACCAGCCCGCCTTACCCTTCTTGTGTGTATAAAAGAATGGCTTTGCTCCTGTCATGTTTCCCAGCTTTTCTCCTTGCCCTCTCTTCCTTGTCAAATCCTCAAGTTCTTGCTTTCATTTTAATTGTGTTATATCTTTCTATTTGTATTTCTTCTTTCTAGTTCTTATACTAGGGAGACTATATGATATTTACACATGTGGGTCTGGTTTATTTCACTTATGACTATATCTTCAAGTGGTATCTACTTAAATATAAAGACTTCAAGTTTATCATTCTTTATAGCTGAGTAATACTCCATTGTATAAAAATACCACATCTTTTCATCCATTTCTCAGGTGGCAGGCATCTTGGTTGTTTCTAAGATGTGGCTATCACAAATTGTGCTGCTATAAACATAGGTACACATATATCACTATGGTATAATATTTTCAGTCCCTCCAGGAAAAATTCCCATTGGGGGATAGCTGGCTTGAATGGGATTTCCAGTCCTAGTTTTCTAAGGAGTCTCCACACTGATTTCCATAACAGTTACACCAATCTGCATTCCCACTAGCAGTGGAGAAGGGTTCCTTTTTCCCCACAGCCTCTCCAACATTTGTTTTTAGTTGATTTGTATATGATAGCCATTCTTTCTGAGGTGAGACTGTATCTCAGTGTTGTTTTAATTTGCATTTCACAAATGGCTAGTGATGTGGAGCATTTTTTCATATATTTATTCGCTTCTTAAATTTCATCCTCTAAGAAGTGTGTGTTCATCTGAGATGCCCATTTCTGGATTGGGTCTTTAAATTTAGGGGCCCTAGTGTTTTTTTAGTTCTTTATAAATTCTAGAGAGCAGACCTTTGTCTGAGTGCACATTAGTTAAGATTTTTTCCGATTTTGTGGGTTATCTTTTCACTTTGTTGATAATTTCTTTTGATGTGCAAAAACTTCTCAATAAGAGGTGGTCTCACTTGTTAATTCTTTCAAGTGTTCCCCGTGCAATTTGATTTTTGTTCATGAACTCTTTGCCTACCCGTATGTCTTCAAGAGTTCCTCCTCTGTTCTTTTCCAGGAGATTTAGTGTTTCTGTTTTAATATTTAGATCTTTAATCCATTTTGACTTTAGCTTAGTGCATGGCGATAGACCTGGGTCGTCTTAGTTTTTGGCATGTACAGAGCCAGTTTTTCTAGCCCCATTTATTAAAGAGGCTATCTTTCTTCCAGTAAGCATGTCTGGCATGTTTGAGGAAGATCAGGTGGCTGAGTGTGTTTGTAGAAGCTTCTGCATCTTCTACTGTATTCCACTGATCCTCAAGTCTATTTTGTTGCCAGTACAATGCTGACTTTATCACAATAGCTTTGTAGTATAATTTCAAGTCAGCAATCGTAATGCCTCTTGCCTTGTCTTTATAGCCCAGGATTGCGTTTGCTATTCTAGGTCTTTTCTGGTTCCCAATAAATTTTAAGAACAATTTCTCTAGGTCTGTGTGACGTACATGTGGTAGTTTGATAGGGATTGCATTACATCTGTACAGCAACTTTCGGAGTATAGACTATTCACAGTGTTGGTTCTTCCTATTCAGGAACAGGGAATATCTTTCTATTTTCTGAAATTCTCAATGATCTCTTTTTACAGAGTACTGTAATTTTCCTTGAAAAGATCTTTGAATTCTTTAGTTAGGTTAATTCTTAAGTATTTTGCTTTCCGCAGTGCTATTGTAAAAGGCATTGTTTCTCTAGTTTCCCTGTCAGTATGTTCACTGTCTGTGCAGAGGAATGCTATTGACTTTTGGGTATTGACTTTGTTTCTTGCTATGCTACTGAATTTGTGTATCAATTCTAGTATCTTCTCAGTGGAGTTTTTTGGGTCTTCCAATTAAAGTATCATGTCATCTGTAAATAATGATAATTTAACTTCTTCTTTACCTATTCTTATTCCTTGTATTTTTCTCTCTT